TGTGTGTGTGTGTGTGTGTGTGTGTGTGTGTGTGTGTGTGTGTGTGTTTGTGCATGTGCATTCATATGGAAGTCAGGGGACCAACTTGGGGGAGTTGGTTCTCTCCTTCCTGGGGCTCAAACTCAGGTCATCAGGCTTGGTTGGCCCCAAGAATCTTTACCTTCTGAGACATCTCCATGGCCCTGAATTTTATGAAACTTAAACATAGAACCAAAGATATTTATTATAGAGACATAAGACCCATGGCATATAATTCATCTGTTAGTGTATAATTTATTGGTTTGTCTTATGCTCACAGAATTCTCCAGCCATTACTTAGAGCAGGTACAAAGTTGTCTTACAATCATTGGTGCCAACTTTAGATCATTTTTAACCACTCTCCAATAGAAATTCTGTACTCTTCAGCTGTTACCACTTCTAATTCCTTCAGCCTCTGGCAATCCTTGATCCCTTTTAAAATTTTTACCAGTTCTTGCCATTCAATGTAAATGGAAGCACATGAAATGAGGTCTTTCATATCTGGTTTCCATCACTTAGTACACTGTTTTCGAGTTTCATCTATGCTGTAGCATGTATCAGTATTTAATTTATCCCCCCCTTTTTTCAAATACATTTTTTATTTTAATTTTTTATTAATTACACTTTATTCACTTTGTATCCCCCCAGTAGTTCCCTCCCTCCTCCCCTCCTAATCCCTCCCTTCCTCCTCTTTCTCTGCACATGCCCCTCCCCAAGTCCACTGATAGGGGAGGTCTTCTTTTCCTTCCTTCTGATCCTAGTCTGTTAGGTCTTATCAGGAGTGGCTGCATTGCCATCTTCTATGGCATGGTAAGGCTGCTCTCCCCTCAGGGGGAGATGATCAAAGAGCAGGCTAATCAGTTCATGTCAGAGATAGTCCCTGTCCCAGTACTATGGAACTTACTGGGCATATGGGTCTTCCCTTAGACTGATAGTCCAACCAAGTAGCACGCATGGAAATAACCCAGAACCCCTGCACAGATGTAGTATTTAATTTCTTCTAATGTCTATATAATAGGCCATTGTGTGGTTCTACCACAATTTTAAAAAATTCACTTACAAGTTTAAATCATTAGTCAATGATTTATTAAATTTGATTGCTTTAATTTTATTTGTTTATTTAAAAAGTTTTTTTTTTTTTTTTTGAGACAGGGCCTCATAGCCTAAATGGCCTCAAACTCACTATGCAACCAAAGATGATCTTGATCTTCCTGCCTTCCTGCCTTCCTGCCTTTTGTGCCTCCACTCTCAGTTTATGCAGTGTTGGAGTTGAAGTTTGGATTAATTTTAAATTGTGTTTCTTTGCAAAAGGCAGGTGACATATATGAACTTTATGGTCTTTAGCAAGCACAAAGTTCTGCCTCCCTACCTAGCTTCCCATGTCATCTCTGGCAAAGGTTGTAAGGGACAACACTCTCCCCATGGTTCAATTGAATGTCATTTATAAGAGTACAAAACAAAAACAAAAAGCCTTGTAACATGATGTCATCTTTTGGCTCCCTAGTTGGTACATTTATTTTGTAGGGTCTTATTTTTTCACAAGCTGACACATTTATTTTAGAGTTTTTTTTTTTTTTCTAGTCAATACATTTTGCAAGGTTAGTATGAGCAAAATACGTTTACCCATGCTACCTATAAAAATGACTTAGCATTTTGAGCTGGACATAGTGGCACACACTTTAATCCCAGAATTTGGGAGGCAGACGCAGGTGAATTTCTGAGCTCAGGGCTAGCCTGGTCTACATAGTGAGTTGCAGGACAGCCAGGGCTACACAGGAAGACCTTGTCTTGAAAAAAAAAATCATTCAAACAAAATGATTAGATATTTTGGTAGAAAGTGTTTTGATCCTGCTTTTTTTTTTTTTTTAATTTCAATTTGATTTGTAGGCCCGTATTTACAGCACTTTGGACTGAGGGAGAAGCAGGAAGTAAAGAGCTCTTTCATAAAAGAATTCCCTCCAGCAGAACAAAGCCAGAATACTCTTTTATTGAGGGACAATTCCTGCTTTTCTTATGTCACTTGTTAATCCAATAAGAGTTTTGAAACTGAATTCACTCATTTTGAGTCCGAGACTCAAGTATAAACTAATTTGGACAAAGGTACCAGTAGTCATCATTTACTTGCTTTAAAAGAAATATATTTACAGGACTTGTTTCTGTGCTATCTCCTGCGTGAATGCCCTCTGAGGTTGTTTTATTTGTTTTGTTTCAAGGGCTTTAGGAGGTGAGAAAGGAGGTCAGTGGATAGAACACTTGCCTATCATGCATGAAGCCTTGGTTCCACCCCCTGCATTGAATGAGCAGGGCCTCCCCATGGTGTGCACTTGTAATCCCAGCACTCAGGAGATAGAGGCAAGAGGATAAAACATGCTAGGTGTGGTGGCCCCTGCCTTTAATCCCAGTACTTGGGAGGCAGAGATAGAAAGATTTCTGTGAGTTCCAGACCAGTCTGGTGTACATAGTCAGTTCCAGGATAGCCAGGGCTGTTACACAGAGAAACTCTGTCTTGAACCCCCCAAACCCCCCTAAAATTCAAGGTGATAATTGCTACATTCAAGTTTAAGGCCTACCTGTTTCAAAATAGGGCAAGGGCCTTTAAATAAAAGGGCTAATGATAGTGTGTGTGTAATTAATTGTCAAAGCTGCCTTAAAGGTCATTAAACACCAGCTGTTTTTCTGAACTGTTTATGACTCTCTACATGTGTATATCTGTGGTCTTTTCTGAACTTTATTATGCTTAATCTTTCTATTTTTTAATTGTAGCATAACTTTTTCATGTATCTAGATTTTGTGCCTGTTTGGGAATTTAGTATGTTTATATGTGTATTTTTTAAACAGTTTTTTTTTGAGTTTATATTATTTCACCTCTCTCCTCAATCCACCTCCTCCTGTGTAGCCCCCACTCCTCAACTGAGTATTATTGATGTGTGTGTGTGTGTGTGTGTGTGTGTGTGTGTGTGTAAAACCTATGTAAATTCATTTAGTGTTTACTTGGGATTGGATAACCCGTCAAGGGGCTTGTCCTTAGAGAAAACTAATCTACCCTTTCTCAACAGCCATAGTACACACACCCACATGCACACACAGTTGTTTCTGTAGTTTTGAGCCAGGGTTTCATGTAGTCCACGCTGGCCAGAATTTACTATGTAGGCAAAGATCTTGAACATCTGATCCTTCTGCCTCCACCTCCCAAATAGAGATGACCAGATTACTTGTCATTGTCGTTGTCTCCATCCCCAACTCCAGGTCTTGTTACTCAGATTTACTTTGAACTTTGCGGCTCAGGTAGTCTTTTTGCGTCAGTCTTCTATGAGGCTGAGGACTCCAGATGTATACCAGTGTACCTGGCCCCAGGCATATAGTGTTTAATTAACTATAAATTCACGTAAGGAACCCTAATGTGATGATTTATTTCCTACTGATAATCATTTCAGATTGGTTCCAGCATCTTGTAAGAAAAATGCTGATTGGGACAGCCTCCGCACAGGCTTTGTGTTCCTTTGAATGTTTCCTTGAACAGGTTTCCAGGAGTTGGGTTATTAGGTCCAAGGGTATGAACAGTTTATGGCTGGTAATTCTGCCAGGTTGTTTGAAAGAAGGGTGAGTAAGTTCAGAATGTAATTAGCTGTGCTGCTGTCCTGCATTTCTAGTTTTCTGCTCACGTTATTAGTTTGCTTGCTCTGTTATCAAGAAGTTACTCTTTATGACTGTCTCTGGTTTGCATTTTTTTCTGTTGCTACACAGCCCCCTTTCTTCCCCTCCAATTGTTGGTTTGCTTGAGTGTAGACTGATTAGGTCTCAGATTTTGTTAGCATGGAGAGATCTTCCTATCTCTAAGTCTGTCACCCAGATGATCTAAACCAGTGGTTGATACATTTTTCCAATAAAGGACCAGCTGTCATGCTGTATAGGTAGGCAATATAACTTTATTGATGGACACTGAAGTTTAATCTTGTATCATTTTCTTTGTCTGTTGAAATTATTTCCAACCATTTGAAATACAGAAACCAAACAAAGATGAAGGGTCATTTTTGGTGATGGGCTGCCTCAGAAGGTTGGCTGAATTGTTATCTGAACAAGAGGCAGCACATGGGAGGGAGAGCAATAGAAGATGGCATTTCCTTACTTTCTGTCTGCCTGACAACTATCCTGTTAAGTGGCATAGAATAAACACCAAGCCATTTAGTCCAGCATCCCTATATTTTGGCTGAGGAAATGACGCCCTGAAAGGCAAAAGGGCATCTAGGAGGTTGGGAGAGTCAGAGCCAGGTCTTGTGACACTGTCTATATATGTTTTCACTTGTGAGAGTACTTCAGGCTAGCTGTCCCTAGAACTGCTTCATATTCTCTTGTCTCCACATCCCATCTCCTCACAGGAACA